CTTAAAATTTCACTCACTCATACCGTTTTAACGTAGGGAATTGATACATAGTTACCCATATCTTACAAGGGAACCTTAAGTACTGTCACCTCTCGATTTCCTTCCAAATGGCCTTAATCGACAGATAATTTGGTTAAACTAAAACTTTATCATAGAACATGCGGTGCAAAATCACGTTTTCGCGAAATATTTGGCGAGAACTGCACCAAAACCTGTCATTTTCCCAATGCTTTTAACATAGCCATCAGCCTTTCGAATGATGAAATGAACTTTAAGGAATATTGAAAAATTATATAGTTACCCGTCCGCGTGATTTCAGCCCGATTACGAATATGTAAAAAGTGATGCAAGCTTTTGCCAATTTTTTGCAAATTGCGAAAATCGGAAAAATTTCGCAAATTCGAATTTCTTCCTTTTTTAAATTCAACAAATTTTTCAGTTTAACTGATATACAAAACATTTCTCTTATTGCAAAAAAAAATGCAAAAATTTGCAAAAACTGAATTTAGCAAATTTTTCATGAAAGTAAGTTAAATAACCAATGCTAGTCTATTTTTACGTATTTTTCGAAATTATTTGCGGTATTTATTTTTGCAAGTTGCAAAAACTTACAGGGTGCAATTTTTTAATTGAATATGTAGAATTTTTTGCAATGTTTGCATGTTTTAATTTTCCAACAAATTAACTTTGGTTTTATTCGCTCATACCTACATATGTGACAATTTTAAGTTTCTATAAAATTTAAACATTGGAACCTTCAATTTTTGCAAACTTTTGCAAATTTTTTGCAATAAGAAAAATATGTTTTGTATCAGTTAAACTGATAAATTTGTTGAATTTAAAAAAAAACGAAGAAATTCGAATTTGCGAAATTTTGCAGATTTTCTCAATTTGCAAAAAATGTTCAAATCTTTGCATCATTTTTTGCATATTCGTGATCGGGCTGAAATTACGTGAGTACAAATATAATTTATTAAGATTCTACAAAGTTCATTTCATAATTCGAAAGGCTGATGGACATTTTAAAAGCATTGGGAAAATGGCAGGTTTTGGTGCAGTTCTCGCCAAATATTTCGCGAAAATGCGATTTTGCACCGCATGTTCTATGACAAAGTTTTAGTTTCACTAAATTATCTGTCGATTAAGGCTATTTGGAAGGAAATCGAGAGGTGACAGTACTTGCTAGCAAGGTTCCCTTGCTAGCTTTAAGTATTAAAAACCACTAGCTTTAAATAGAATGCGATATGCACTGCCTGACTAACCAACTCCTCAAACATGTATTTTATTTGGTGGAAATATGGTGTATCTAGATAATTCATCCCAGTGATTTTCTTATGACAAAAAACGGACCAAACATTAACAAGGGTCTGCAAAGTTTTATAGTACGAAGTAGCTTTAACGCAAAGCGTGGCACCTCAAATGGTAGTACCACTTTAAAAATAAACCTCCTATTTCTTGGATAGCCTGTTTTACATTCAAAGAAAAATTGTACGATAAGATCCGGGCAAAATGAAGGATTTAATAACAAAATTTTAAAGATTACTCAAATATCAAACCAGTTTTTACTTTAAAAAAATTTGCCAAAAGTCATCAACAAAGAGTTTAGGGCAGGAACGAAATAATTAGTCCAAAGATTAAGTACTAACAATGAGGAGGTGTGAGGTGGTTACCCCCGATATCCACCGGACTAATTTCAAATTTTTCTTGCTCAAAAATAAGTGGACCCGAATTTTCTCGTTTTCCTGAATGGGCATGTTTACGCTCTTGGCGAAATTTTCAAAACAAATTTCAGCCAAAATTCGGATTTTTAAAAACGCTGTAACTTTTCGAATTTTACCCCGATTTCAAAAATTACACCCAATCTTTGTGCAGAATTACATCACTGAAAATATACAAAATGAGAAAAGACTGACTATTCTCAAATTTCATGAGATACTGACTTCAGACGCTGTCCACACCAATATTCACGATCTGGAGAGAGTCATGAGAGTGGAGATGTTGTTTTCCACTCTGAGCGACACTGCTAATGGTGATGCTCACCAGAAGTGGGCGTAGCACGGCCTCGTTTTTCGAATGTCAAGACGGTTAAGGCTACATTTTTTTATTTACATTTTTTTGAACTCAATGTACAAAATAAGTCTTGATTGATGTGACTTTGAATTTCGTCACTTTAAGTTTTGTTAACGCCTCTTGTTTTCCGATGATTTTCGGAATTTTCCCATCCATAAGCTTACATATATTAATCTGTCTCAGAAAAGCAACATAACTTTTTGCACCCTGTCGTCTGCAACCTAATTTTTTTATGGTGGTTAAGAAATTTAAGATGGCATTAGAATTTGTGGAATTTGGGTTGCAGACGACAGGGTGCAAAAAGTTATAGCGTTTTGAAGTTGTCATTAGAAGATAGCAAAAATTGAAATTTTTCTAATTTTCTAATTTAGTTTGTGGTGCTTACAACAACTTTTAAGTTGAGGTAAACCTTCCCAAAATTACGTGACATCCAGTGGTTCAAATGGAAAGAGTTTTAATTTTTTTCGAAAAATTCAAATTCTCGGGCAATTTCTAATATAGGATTTTTATTTTTTCACTAATAACTTTATTGAAGTATTATGCATTTATGGTAAAATTTGCCATAAAATCTAAGATATGGCCCGCAATGCATGATTGACATTGACGAGGACTGAGTCTTCAGCTAGTTAGTTTTAGTAATCTAAAGTTCTTGTCCAAATTATGCAAGGGAGAAATGCGTGCAGTTTCGACAAATAAACATGTTCTTTGCAGTGAATAATGTTGCCGGATTAAATTTACACCCTTTCCATGTCTAATACTAGAAAACTTGGCGACGAAGCTTACAATATTTTTTACTGAAAAAAGTGTGAAATATTTGAATGAAAAATTAAACGACGAATTAAACATACACGCCTCATATTCGAAACCGGTATCCAGATTTCTCTTCGCATCCTGAGTATAGTAAAATAGCATAGAAATCAAAAACGAAGTATCAAGCTTCATAAAAACCGTGAGCTTACAAAGCGGAGACCTGAAGTGGTTTTCTCCAATTTTGACTGGACAAATTTTAAACAGTTGGCGCGCAGACACAAGTGAATTTTCTAGAATGTTCATGGTTTCCCTTTGCCCGAATTTGTAACCAAAATCTAGATTTTTCAAAACGCTGTAACTTTTCCAATTTTAACCCGATTAAAAACATTAAAGAACAAAATACTTTAATAGAAACTTTTAAAATTTGAAACTTGCATGCTACCTTGGAAGTTTGAAAAATGCAAACATATAAAACTTTTTAAAATTACAAGTTTTTGAAAGGTAATTTTTCTTACTAATGTTCTTCAATATCTGAATATGAGTTCTTCTTAATATCAGTTTAAAATTGAAAAAGTTATAGAATTTTGAATGATTCTGATTTTGGTTAAAAATTCTACAACAAGGGCAAATACGTGCATCGAGTAAAATACAAAGCTGTAGATATTTTAATTTTTGTGCGCTAACAATTTAAAATTCGTCGGATTAAAATTGGAGAAGACCATTTGGTGCTTACATGTGTACATATTTACATACGTACAGATATTGTAGCGTGATTTTCTTAGTAGCTTTACGACGCTTGCAAAATCTTTTAGCTGTCGTAACTTATTTTTCGACGCAAAAAATACTAAGGGTACGAAGATAATAATAAGGAATTCCTATAATGTGTAGCATAAAACTTTATACGTAACTCATTTTTTAATTTTTCATTTTTTTCAATTTTTTTAGTTTTTTAAGTTTTTATTTTTAATTTTTCCGGGGTCTTGGGGGGGGCTCAAGCCCCCCTAGCCCCCCCCTTGGCTACGCCGCTGGTGATAACAACTAGTACACATCCTGTAATGGCCCAGATTTTTTTGGCCACCATGTAAATGAAATTTGACATTTATTGAGCATGCATAATCACTTCACGTCAGAATCTTTTGGTCGACATTTTCTCATGCAACATGAGAAATATCTCGTGTGATAGATATTATATAAGCAATTTGTTATCTATAATTAAGTATGATTATCGATTAATCGATATTATATGATTATAATTTATGATCACATGATGCGATTCACATCATATGATCATATTATCATTATAATTATATTAATTAATATGTATGATATATATATATATCTAGTTGCTTATACGCATAATTGTAAGCAGTGTTTCGGGTGCAAGTAACCACCTGCAAGAAATAACCGCAAGAAACTGGTTTCTTGCAGCTATTTTTACCCGCAAGAAATGCAAAGTGCAAGAAACTCATTCCCGCCGTTATAGTTCTGAAGGCGCCTGGCTAGATGGCGCTGTGTTTCTTGCACTTTCTTGCATTTCTTGCACCTTGCATTTCTTGTATTTCTTGCTTTGCAGTGCAAAAAATGAGAAAAACCCGCAAGAAACGAAACACTGATTGTAAGCTTAGGTTACACATAATTAATCGCTGAGGAATTCAAATATATTTTATATTCACTGAACATTGTTCAGTATGTATTTATGTAAGCCTAGTTAAAACATCTGCGGGAAAATGATATTCTTGGAAAATATTTAAATGGTCTTTAATTACTTGTGAACCAGATGCAAACCATAAAATTATATCTAAATACAAAATCATTATACGAATATACATTCGCACGTTTTACCAATTAAATTTGCAAAGCGATGCATACAAAGTCCGGAGAAAATTGCAAACTCAGGGGGAACCTTCATAAAGTATGTGATCAAATTTTGTGTTCCACTTTGACACATTTTTGAATACCAATTCTCCATGACGCCTTAACTTAACTACAAATTAGTCACCTTTTTCTGCATGATGACCAGCATCCAGCTTAATAGCACATACTTTCCTCGGAAAACATATGTGTGCTAATTTTAAAATTATTATTTTAATTACATTTCCAAGTTCGTGGTTGATTTTAATGGTGCTGAAAACCATATAAATTGTCCCCGCTGAAGCATGACTTGAACGGTTAACGTATTTATTAAACCTCCACCTAAAATGAATACTTTTATAGCTCTATTACTCGCGTCGTCGTCTTTTTGTTGCACGTATGGTAAGCATTTTTCTAAAATATCTGTAAACATGAAATGTTCCCTGGAAAATTGGGATACTACGATGCATAATTTACATAATTTTTTCCACATTATTACACATCTAATGAGCAAATATTTCTTTTGAACTGGTAATACATACATATGCATTTATGTATGTACATATTTCACACAGTTCCGAACAAATCTAACAAATTGAATTTTTTGAACGTTATATCTTTCCAGCCAGCTCTGTGGATAGCGTTCTGAACTCAAATGGTCTTTTCAACGCGTTCTCTGCCCTCACCGAGGACGGGGTGCTGGACGTTTTAAACGACAAGGGTGCTGTTTCAAAGGCCTTCTCCGCATTTTCGGTAATTCTATTTCGACCCGCCTTTAATTACTGATTCGATTAGGGTTGCGAACATGAAATATGTCATCCACCGTAATGTGCGTTCAAACTTTAATTTTCCATAATTGTTCTAATTTTCCTCAGCAACAATTCGACAAGTCGGACAACGCCGATAAACTCGATGTGTTTCAAGCCAATCTGAAGAAAATTGCATCGCACAATTTGAATGCAAGGAAATCTGGCGGGTTTGAAAAAGGCGTCAACCAGTTTAGCGATCTGGTAAGGAGAAGAAAAGGATCATAATTAGGAAATGATTATTGATACATACACATGTACCCAGAGAACAATTTGAGATTTCGCTGTGAATGCCCTATCGAATTCGCAGCAAAATGTCCGCCGATTCGCTGGCGTATTCTCAGCGAAGTCGCAGCGACTCCACGATTTCTCCACGAATTCGCTAGCGAATCGGCAGACATTTCGCTGCGAATCCACAGCGAAATCTCGAATTGTTATCTGGGTAGTGCGCTGCAAAATAACGTTTCTTTCAGACATATGAAGAAACAGTGCAACAATTCACGGGATACAAAAAGTCAAATAAGACGAAAGGCTTTTCAAGCTTGGCCACCCCACAAAAACCCCCACTCGCCAAAAAATGGTCCACCCCACCGGCCTCGTTAGACTGGAGGACGTACAAGATGGTGTCCCCGGTTAAAAACCAAGGTGAAAACATAATTAAATCTAGGAAACAAGCGCCATCTAGTGGACAATCCCTGTAATCTAGTGTAGTGTAAAAGATAGCCCGATAGGTGGTGCTTATTTGGTTGCAATTTGTTTAACATAAACCCAAGAAATTTGCAAAAGAAATCAAACCGTTATCATTAAAATTGAAGCTATTTTGTCTCATCTTACTTTGCCTCAATAATTTAGCTGGATGCGGTTCCTGCGTATTTTTTGCAACGACCGGCACCCACGAATCGTCCCACGCCCTCTTCCACAACGGAGAAATCCTCGACCTCTCCGAACAAGAATTGATCGATTGTGCCCGTGGGGATGGGAACAATGGCTGCCAGGGGGGCACTTTCGTCCCCACCTTTAAGTACCTCACTTCCACGGGACAGTCCTTAGAGGCTGAGTAAGACTATCTGTTCATATTCATTTATTCAATACAGAATGAATAAATTATTCATTCATTATTCAACAAATTCATGAATAATGGATGAACAATTTTTTCCAAATTTTTGTTTGAATGAGTATTAGGTACATAAATATTTATTCGTTTCATATTCACGTATTTAGAATGAATGCATAACTTTAGTCATTATTCATTTTTCACGCTATTCTTTAAACAAGCGGTGCATTTAGAAAGCCTACGAATAAAGCCAATTAGGGGTAAAACGAGTAAAAAATGCGGAATGAATAAATATTCATTTTCAAATCTTGAATAAATGAATAATGAATGAATATTTTTCCAATTTTTTTATTTGAATTAATTTTGAATGAATAAATATTCGTTTGAACAGGTACGCATACACCGGCTCTGACTCGGACGGTTGGGACCAAGCCGAGTGCAAAGCTGCAGGGCTGAATCATCCCTCCAAGTTGACTGGCTGGTGGCCCGTTAAGCCCGCCACGGATGAGAAAGCGCTCCTCACCGCGGTCGCAAACTATGGCCCTGTTTCCGTCGCGATTTGCGTGAATGATGACTTTGTCCGGTATAAAAGAGGCGTTCTGGACACGGACTGTAATTGTGGGCGGAATCACGCCGTTGTCGTGGTGGGTTATGGTTCCGAGGGCGGGAAGGACTTCTGGATTGTTAAGAACTCCTGGGGGGAAGGCTTCGGGGAGGGCGGATATATTAAGATGAGACGAAATAAGAAAAACATGTGCGATATTGCGGGTGACGCGGTGTTCGTGAATGCTTAAAACCTTTTTTAAGTATGTAGCTTTGAAATTGGAAGAATTCAGAAATTGGAAGTGTGTATTAAGTATTTTGTATTCAATTCGTAGATCTATTATTCACATGTAATTAAGTAAATGAACGCATGCACCAGTCAATGCAATGATTCAATAAAATTTCAAAATTTGCAGTATTTTTGTGACAAACAGAGCATTATTATTTCGAATACCAGAACTGTATACAAAATTCGGTAGTAATTTCCTGTAGATGGATTTTTTATAGTGCACCTGTATATGTATATGTATTTGGTCAGGCCTTAACCTTTTTCTCGGCAGGGTTCCTACATATGCCTTAAAACTCGTGAAATATTCACCCGTTCTGAGCAAAGTAACCCTTTCCCCTCGCGGCGGCGTCTCACTCAAATTCAGAATCTGGCCCAAATTTATGCAACTGAAAAGTAACCCTTCACATGAAAATCCCCCTTACATATTTATATTTGTGCTTCATTCAATACTTTCATTATATCCGCCACAAATACATCTGTAAAAGTTGGATACACTCAATTGTGTATCCAACTCAAGTTAAGCTTAACTCGAGTAAGATCGGCGACTCAAAAACCACTCACCCACCGTTAAGATGGACGTTCCCTTAACCAGGCAAGGAAAGAAAGCTACGTTTGCACGTGTTTGTGCATACTAAATAGTCATGGTCTCATTCCAGGCAAGGTCCAAGGGTTTATTCTTTAATTTTTGTATAAGGGTACTCACTCAATTAATCAGTAAGTCCCAAATATATCTAATTTGAACTTCAAAATTTGGTATTAATTTTAACTGATTTTTTAAAAGTGTACATAATTTTGTAACTACGTTATGTAATCCACACAGACCAGTTTGTCACCCATACATACATGATCATTTTGAAATGGATTTGGAACCTCAAAATCAGGAAAATAGTCACAATTCTGGAGTGCAACACCTCGCCTTCAAATTACCTGAGGTATTAATACATACATATTATTTTGTAACTGGGAAAAATGTTTCTCTCCTTGATATTTTCGATACCACAATATTTGTAGGCAATTGGATTTAGTATAATGTGTGTAACACAGTCTTCCTTATTAGCTCACCCTGCGTAGCATGAGAGCTATTGAATTCCTCTTGTCCGTCTGTCCGTCTGTTAACGAGTTTTTTGCATCAATTGATGCTAATTAAAAATCCCCTTGACCATTATTGAATAAGTTAAGCGCACCATTGGTATTGAACAAACCGAATCGATTTGTTTAATAAATTAATCGCACGGTTGATATCCAATAATCGGTAACACAAAATGATGCGATATAATTGAGGGATGGGATGCAAAACGCACCAATAGTGCTGAATATCCGGGAGAAATGATCATACAATTTTGACAAAGTTTTCAAAATTATGTATCGCGGATGGTCGCTAATGCGGCACTAATGGTGCAACGGCTAGCCGGTTCTGTTGCACCATGGGTTCAAGATTATACACGAGTTATGATCTATTTTGTCGGTTATTTTTATTCCGCACCTTCGGTGCAAAGTAATGTCTCAATCATTATGACAGGGTGAGCTACTTCTAACGTTACTACGGTTTATTTGGAAAATGGATTTGTTTCCGTATGCAATAAGCACATTGGATTTGTTCCTTTGAAAGTAGCACGAATTGGACATGTTCCTCTCAGGAATGCAGACTTTTTATTTTAGGGTCGTACACGAACTACGTAACGCAAAAATCGCGATTTTCCAGACCCCTTAACATGTCTAACACAGGCACGATATGATTCAAGGCTTAGGCCTACCCTCTCGCGTTACGTAATTTATGGACGGCCTATTATCTACAGGTAGAACTTAAGGCAATGTTTAACTTCAGGATTTGTCGCCAAGTGCAGTTTTATCGAGCAAACATATCTGCCAAAATTGCATTTTGTTAAGCTACATTTTATTGATTGACATTAATTAATCCAGGTTTTACATGAAATAATGTCCTTCCTCCCATCCAACGATCTCCGCCGGACGGTCACCTTCGTCTCCCGCGGGTGGGAAGCCGCCGCTCGAGCACACCTCCTTTCCCGCACTCTCGTCTCCCTCTCCCCCACAAATATGGCGGCCTACCTCGCCACCACCCAGGCCGGATTTAACCATTTTAAACGCTTGCACCTTTCCGAATTGAATTTCGGAAATCCGTCCCCCGAAGAATCCCATCTTCTGGAAACTTTCATTTCCACCGCGTCCTCGCCAATCACCGAGTTACACCTGGACTACTTCCCCCACCGGGTGGGGTGTATGGCCCCCCACGTGATCACATTATTAAAAAGCTGTCACAATTTAAAATTTCTATATTTCTTCCCGAAATATTTTTACCTAAAATTTACCGAAATTTCCCTCCCAGAAGGTGCAAGGTTTCCGGGCGTGACAAACCTCGGAATTTCCATGTGTTTATATTATTCCAGTCCCCAGGACAAGTTTGGTATCCAAATTGAGGAAACGATGCTTGCATTAGTCACATTTTTTCCGAACCTTACAAAATTTCTGAGTGACACCCTTCCTCGAAACGTTGTGGAGCATTTCCTCTCAAGAAATGCGTCCATTGAGTCAATCTCACTCAAATTACATGATCGAATTTCACCCCTGCCAATTTTATTTGTGAAAAAACGATCCATTTTCCTCACCCGGGTAGAATTTAAGGTCCCACTTTTCAGCCAATCTGACCACTATTACTCCGCAATTCTGGCCATGTTTTCCGACAGATTGGAAAAATTGAAACTTACCTCGTTTCAAAGCGTCTCAGCGTGGTATTTTGATTTAAACGAAATCTCGACAATCTCACTTCCTGCGGTATTTTCAAAATTAAAATGTTTCGAAATGGGCATATCGGAATATTATTACGGTCTAGGGCAACATTTTATATTTACTCCCGGGCTTTGTTTAAAGTTTGGGGAAAACTTCACGTATGCGAAGCAATTTCCCACCTTGGAGAAAATAGTGGTTTCAAAATTCGAAACAAATTTGGATATGTACAATGGAGGATGGTTATCGGAGGAGGAATGGTTCGAAAGTTGGGCGGGATTTTTGAATAGTTATTTTCTCCGGGGAGAGGAAACCTGCCTCACGGTGAGAGAGATTAGCCTTCCACCGCCTCCCGCGAAATTGGGGAGGTTTAAATTGTTAGAAATGTCTGAGTGTCCAATGTTTGAATTGGTAAATTATTCCGATTTTATGGACAGACAATTAATTTTATGGACAACTAATTTCTTGACGGGTTGCCTGCTCTGGGGGATTTTTGGCATTATAAAGCTTTGTGGATACGTTGTGTCGAAATTTTTTAAAATTTGTGTTCGATAAAATTTTGTCGGCGATTTTCATGCCGTGAATCTTTGTGAGTTAAATAATTTTAGTTCGATCGTAAATGTACGTGTAAGGATACAAATAATCACGAACTTAATGACGCAAAATAATGCAAATACATTTAGTAGTTTGTTTAAAATTAACACATATGCATGTACATATGAAAGGTTTAAATTGTTAAAAAATGTCATGGTGGAGATGTGTATTGAGTTTGTACATATACTCATTTTGAAAGTTAATTTAGCTCCTGCTCCTACTCAAGAGTTGGCAAAGAGGGTGGCGGACTTGAATATTTTATTTAATTTTGGATTCATTTGCAATTAAAAAGTTACAGTTATGTATCTGTAAAGTGTATGTCCTACTTGTTTACACTGAAAGCATAAATATGTATCTATGTACTTACGCAGTAAGTTACAGATTACAGTTATCTGTAAAGTTTATACTGAAAACATTAATATGTATAACTAATAATAAATAATAAATATGTATGTATTTACGCAGTTTGAAATAAAAATTGGTTATGATAAATATGAGACATTGTGCTCATGGCCCGTTTTAGGGATCAGGCGACCCTTAATCCTTTTCTTTGTAGGGATCGTTCCGTACGGATTAAAATTCTTCACACCGTATTCCGTACGGCGCAAAGTAACCCTTTCACCACGGGTTGGTGACTCGAACCTGTACCAGGTAAAAACTTACCTGAAAAGCAACCCTTTACGAACACACATACTTTGATTTAAACCTGACTATTTATGTATGTAAGTATATTTGTCCCTCAGTTAAGTACGCTTTCAACGCACCTGCTAAATCCCACACCATCCCGATAAGAAACCAGAATCACAGTTAGTATATGAGTCATAATGGGCATGACCCTTCTAAAAATATCAGTCGTCTTTTAAATCGCATATAATATCTGTAAATTTTTATCATTTCAACTTTATGGAGCGTCGTTATATTATGTCATTGAAAAACCCAGATTTTTAGACTATCCACCCACCCTTAATGAACTCATGTCTAGCTTAATCAGGGTAAGGAAAACCCCGGGGTTTTGGTATTGAAACCCATACCCCGGCGTTTTACCTGGGTTTTGCGGGTAGTCGGGGTATTCGGGGTTTTGGGGGAAAACTGAGTCAGTATCTCATGTATTAAGTTCAGAAATTAATGAAAAAAATCAGTTTTTCAGTAATTTCGCAATAAAACTGCTTATTAATTATATTTTAATAAGTAATTACCTTGTTGAATTGCTGGTAATGCCTTGTTATCATATTTTGTAAAATTTGAAAACCCCGACTACCCGTGGGTATTGCTCAAATTCGCTACCCAAAACCCACCAAAACCCGCAATACCCCAATACCCCCAAAAACCCGGGGTAGCATGCCCTGAGCTTAATATGTATGGGCGGCCCATCTTTTTGATGACGTGGTGCATGGCCATTCTCTTACTCAAGAAAAGGCAACCGAACGGATTGTACATGCCATTCGTGCCTCATTCGAGGCGAGCGCTGATCCGTTAAACATTGTCAATGGGACACTTCCACTCTTTCACAAGTTACAGGTAAGCCATACATAAATGGGGAAGTTTTAACTTCCAAATTTTGAGTAAATTATAATTTTTCAGAGTGTATATAATTGCATACATATGTAAATATGTTCATACTTATATTAATTTACACAGATCAGTCCTTTATAATCACTCTGGAATGGATTTGGAACCACAGGATGAGGATAATGGTGGCAATTCTGGACATCTCGCCCCAAAATTACATGAGGTTTGATACTTTTTTATCTGTGACAAGTATTTCTTCTCTTGTGATCTTTGATATGCCAAAATTTGAACGTATTTATGTAGCTAAAATCAGCATTTGCACGTACTTTGCAACACTTGTCATTATTTCAGCGAGTGATTTTTCAAACTATGTACATATGTATACTGTAAGAAATTCAGTATTAAAATAATGCCAAATAAAATTCGCAAGTTTTATTTATTAAGAGACCGTCCCAATTCTACGTCGTCAAAAAGGTGGATTGGTAATTTTAGTTCGTCAATCTTCGTCGTATTAAGCTGAACATGCGTTGGGCGTTGGGAGAGGGGGGTGTACATAGTCGAAAAACCTATGTTTTTTGATCACATAATAAACGAACGTTCCCTAACACAAATTATCCTTATTTGACTATAGATGTTACATCAAATCATGTCCTACCTCCCAACCCCCGACCTGCAGACGGTAACCCTCGTCTCCCGCGGGTGGGAAGAGGCCGCCCACACCTCGTTTCCCGCACACTTGTCACCCTCACCCCGAAAAATATGCCCGCATACCTGGTCTCAACCAATGCCCGCTCGAACCACTACAAACGTGTTTACCTTAATTTCAATTTCGATAATTCCTACCCTGAAGAGTCCGAAATGCTGGAAACTTTCATCTCCACAGCGACCACGCCCATTACCAAGTTGCGGATCAAATACTTCGCTTACCGAGTAAAATGCATGTCCCCTCTCGTGATCGCACTCTTAACAAGTTGTCCCAATTTGAAATCTCTTCACTTTTCTCCAGGCTTGTTTACGTAAACGCGACTGAAGCTTCGATCCCAAAAAATTTAGAATTTCCAACTGTTACAAACCTCGTAATTTCCATGGCCTTCAGTCCAAACATCCTCGACATAGGTCCTACTCTTGAGGAAAGTATCTTTGAAGTAGTCAAGTTGTTCCGAACCTTAAAAAATTGACGGGTGACAACCTCCCGAAAAATGTGGTGGAGTATTTAGTCTCAAAAAATGCGTCCATCGAGCCAATCCTGTACAAAGAAGGGGATGAATTTCCTCCCGTGCCCATCTTAATCGTAAGCTGCCCATTGTTCCGCGGGAGCTAGAATTTTAAATCGGCGTTTTAAAAAAATCTGGTAATTATTGCTCCGTAGTTCGTATTTTACATAAAATTAATAAATTTAAAATTGCCGCCATTCATAAGATCCAAACTCAACTTAAATGAAACCTCCCAGTAGGCAAAAAGACAACGAATCTCTGCGATATCGTAGCGATGCACCAGCATCGAATCGCAGAGAATCTCTATCGAATCGACGTCGAAAACAGAGCTAAATGACCGCCGAATCTGTGCGAAAGAGCATCGAATTCGTAGTGAATTTCGCAGCGACTTCGCGCTGTATCGTTGAGAATTCGAGATGCATTTTTATGACGATTTCGCTCTGAGTCGTATCGATTTCGATTAGTTTCGTCGTGATTTCTCTGCGAATCCAATGTCACTCTTTTTATTCGTTTATTCTTGCCGAAAGCAATGAAAGATTTATTAGAACGTAATATACATCAATACATTCATATTAAAGTATAAAATACAGACCAAAGTAATAAACAACATAATTTTCAATACCCATGGGAGTATGATTTTCGATTGTTGAGTTTTCTGTATTCACTCGTGTCAGCCTGGAGTTGGGTTTTCTATAAAATGACATCATGAAGTTTAGAACAATTTTGCACAATCTTATTGTTTAAAATTTAAAATTGCTTACATTTTTTTTTAATCTCTGCCTTTGTCAAAAATTTTGGGAGAACGGCGTCCACTGATTTCTTCGTAACCGACATGACATTTGGGTGCAGCCTCTGAAAAATCTGAATTATTGGTAAATTTAATTAACATGTTTATATCTAAGAAGGTTTTAGCCAAAAATAATATGACTTATCTGGACATAACTTTGCAAGTCACATTTTCTGAGTCACGCTCACAAACGCGAGACCATCTTCTAAATATCCAAAAAGTATTTACAAATTACCAATGGCGTAGCAAATATGCCGGGTTAAGTTAAGTGTGGTTATTTGTATCAACTACCCACTTACCAAAAGATTTCAGCACCCGTGGATTTCACAAATTGAATCACTAATTAATTAATTGTTAATTTGCACAAGAGGAGGATTATTTATTAAGTTTTCTCCGTTGTGATCGTTTACTTAAAAGATCCGCCGGTCAAAAGGCACGTGATCTCAAGGCGAGGAGTAGCTGCGATTTCGGTGTGAAATCGCTGCTCAAATTGTATACGGACAATGAAATTTTGAAATCGTTCCGAATTCGTTGCGAATTCACATAAACAATTCTTCCCTCGAAAAGCCAGCGATTGTTCGTACTCGAATTCGTAACGAATTGTCTTCGATTTTTCGATGAGAAATATATCGTTGCGAAGTCGGTGCGGGTTCTAGGCGAAATAGCCCTCGAAATCGCAACGATTTTTCGCTGCAGCGAATTCGCTCTAAATTCGCTATGTTCGCAGAGAATTCGACCAACGAATTGCCTACTGGGCTTGACGATGGCCCTTCCCCCCATGTTTTCAAATTAAAGCGGTTCGAAATTGGAATATTATTTTGTTTTACGGAAGTTTGGAATAAAAATTGGTTATTAAATGAGATCTATTGTTTCCCATGCATATTTATGTATCTAATTACATATTTACATGTACATATACTCGCAATTGGAACGCAAACCATGTTCAACCCAGATTATTTTTTACCAGCCCATGGTAAAAAATTATATATAACATGATTCATTCATTCCTCACGAATAGATTTGTATGAAACGAAGACACATTTATTTAATATTCATCCATTGAAAAATGTTGGGAACAAATTACTCACTTATCATTCATTAATGTAGTGAATATACATATGTACATACATATACATATATATATACATATGTAGTAGTAATTCGAACAATCTTTCGTATTATCTGTCAATTAATGAATGTGAACAATGTTTTATTGCCGGACCATAAATGATTATATATACATACGAGAATCTTAGATTTGGTCGAATAAATATTTCCTAGGCAATTCGTCCAAGGTTATGTCTCAAAGGTAACGGGGAGTCCACGACATGATCCATTATGGCACAGAAAAAAACACACTTCCTCTCAGCTCAATAGCTTTTATACCTTTAATATAATTTTTTGATTCCCTAGCGAGTTAGTTTACGCAATACATAATATAAATGGTATACGTAGAAGTCTACAATCGATTGCCACATTATTTTGAAATAACTTATCGTAATAGCCAGACCGTTCCACACTTTATAATATATTCTAACTTCCAAGATAAGTATTTCTGTCAATGACACCGCCAAGAGCCCTAAATATGTAAAGCCAAAATATGGTTTGAATGTTTCCACCTAACATAATCTTCTTAACAGCATCCTCCGGCTTCCTTCTTTCCACTAGAGTGTGAACCTTGGTTGTAATATTAAGTCTCTTTGGTGACGCGATGCGTGGCCAGGTCTCCAAAAGTTGAATAATTCCTGCCACGTACAGCTTGTTAAATATTTTAACACTAAGTGAGGGTCCCTGGATGGAAAATTTCCACCCTAACTCTGCCGTCAATAATTTAGACTTCGATTCGAAGAACTTCAGCCAGGGGTAGTGTTTCTCAAAGTATCGCATTTCCGACTTAATTTCATTTTCATGTAAAACTAAAACTGTCCTACCGCATTGGACGATAGTGTGTTCAGTATCCCATTCATATTTGATGGATTTCATGTCAGACAGGTTTCCAATCACTGGGTGCGGGATATGCCACGGATCAAGTAAGTCGAATAGTTTCAAAGGTTCCCGTGAAGAAATCAATGTTTCTCCCAATTCAAATTTGGTTAAGAATTTGGAGACCATGTCTGTTAAGTAACTCTCTAGTCGATAATAAAAGTCGTTGTCGGTTAACTTTTCTTTAGATATGTTTTCCTCAATCGAGTACGGCAGCAGGACAAAATCCCTGTTGATATCAAATCTCCGAATCGACTTATTTCGCAATGCTTCTAACGTTCGATTTCTATCAAAGGTGAACGTCATACCTAAATTTGCATAAAAATCAACCCAGTACGCTTCATCGTTAACATCTGCTCTTTCCCAGTAATTAATGTATTGGCGAAATTCTTTTATTCTATTCATATGACATTTCATATCGTTCCACTGACATCCCGGTTTGGTAAGCTGCTCATATCTTGTCACTGATTTTGATTCCAGTGGGGCTGATATTGAGGTGACGCTTAACCCGATATAGCTATTTGTTAAAATTTGCAAGAGTAGCATCCAAAATCCAAACAAAATCTTGTATTCCAAAATCTTACTTATTTTCGTTTTTATTTCAGTCGGTTTTTCAAACATCATAGATATCACAACCAGTTGTGCCAGCGATATTGATTCTAAGCAATTCCACTCTAGCTTAATTATGAAGATCACTACCAATACTGCAACCATTGTTTGGGCGGTCAACACTAGCATGAACCACACCTCAAGTTCAAAAGGCTTCAAAATTGCTTTAAATGACAAATATTCTCTAGAATATCACGTCGTGAAAGAATATCCTTGGCTAAGTATGGGGACGAAGAGTACCGATCTGCGTCCGGTATTAGAGGTCATACCAACATAAAGGTAATCGGTATAAGTTTTCCTCGTTGTGTTCTGTACTTGTGGTTAGTTTCCGATGGATAGTGTGTTTGACCATATGTGAAATTTCCGAGACAAATTAAGCTAAAGAAGATGGTGGCACGGGGGCAGTATGCGTGCTCTCGTATTAAGCGAAACGGGCCTTTGTCATATGCATCGCAGGCTTCTTTCTGATTGTAATAGCCTTACAAGCTAAGATCAGATTTCCGTAAGCTAAAGATAAAGATGTCGGTCGGAGATTCGGGTAGATTGTGAAATTTGGTGTGGTTACTTATTATCGCGATAATATCTCTCACGCCTGTAGCTTTTCCCTCGTCGCTAACATAGTGGATTAGTCGATACCACCTCTCGTACCCGTGGTCAACGATTAAAGTGAGAAACCATTTAAAGACATCAGTATCAAAAGAATTTCGAACCATGGGGCGTTCTAGGTTTAGCTGTACACGGATTAGAAGTGACGCGCGTAGATTAGAGTCCGCGTAAACATACTTAAAATTTGGAGACCTTGCATATAAAATGTTATACATGGCATGATTTTGGTGATTAATAATGAAGGACAGTTCTTTATTTGTAAGTTGTTCTGCATTCAGTGCGAAGTCTGATGTTTGTGTGATAATCACGCCAATGAAACAGGGTGACAGGGTTTTCTGAACAGTTTAGAAAACACCAGGACGATATTTTTCTAGATCATAAGCAGGTCCAGGACGGGTTTTCCAGGTAGAGATATGGATTTGTGGGAGGTGATAGATATAAATCCCTTTCTTGGATGGAACTGGGGTAGAAATAATATCAGAGTTTTGAAAATTGTTGTGATGAGCTAGGATTAAGAAGCAGTCGGGGTCCAAATGTTGAAATAAAGATTGGGTCAAGTTAATGACTTGCTCGTGTGAATAGGTGGAAATGGGGTAAGAAATCGTAGAAATAAGAAATATGTAAAACTTGGGAAATACAAAGCACCGCATTTTAGACCACGATTTTATAAATTTTCAGAACACCAACTAAGAAATTTTGTTTACACAAATTATTGGAAATCGTGAAACTTTATGTAGTTTTTGTAAATCGTCGTTGAAGGATGGAAAAGAGCTATTGCCATTCTGTGTTAAATAAGGAAAGAGCCTTCTCCACTTTGTGTTAAATAAGGAAAGAGCTATTGCCATTCGTCGTCAAATAAAAAAGGGGCCTTCTCCACTTAAGGGGCAATCTGCGATTTTTGGAAATCCTCGTGGTCTAATTTATCAGAAAATATATCACACATATTTATTTAAATTAATTATCGACGAGAAAAAAATCGGAAAGTTGATGCATTTGGTGTTTACATATGATTCCGCCCAACTCGAGTCGAGCGAATCTCTTCCAATTCAAGGGAAGTAAATAATTGAGCAGCGTTGTTTATTAAATCATAAGCTGTCATTTAAATTATGTACCAAGTCGCCAACCAGTTATTAGAAGAAAAATATACTTGAGTGAATATTAGAATAAATGACAATTTTTTTGGCTTGGCTGAAAGAAAAACATCGAGGCATAAAAACGGTGAGGAAAGCTGAACGTATAGAAGAAAAATCAGCAGATGTCAATTGTTACGCCTGATTATAA